CACAAAAACACGCGACAACAATAATGCCACTCAGCAAAACACTGTCACATGTCGACATGAACACAGCTGTGAGACACTGATATACTAAGGTTATGAAACCTTACTGAGCTGCTTGTACCGTGCTGCCAATGTAAGCACACGGTGGCACATGCGTAAACTTAAGTGTCAGATGTATTCATCTTTTTTTATCAGTATATACCGTATTTCCCCATGTATAAGATGCACCCTTTTTCGAAAAATTTGGGGTCGAAAAACTGGGTGCGTCTTATACAGTAGTTGTATGAGTGCAAAAACAAGTGCAAAAAGGCGGGAAATGCAAGTAAAAAAAATCTACAACCACTGTAGAAGACGCACCCAGGTTTTAGACCCCAAATTTTTCGAAAAAGGGTGCGTCTTATACATGGGGAAATACGGTATTATTACAAGTTTAATACAAGTTTTTTTCATTTCTTACAATGTATGTAAATTTTTTTGGCACCCTCTATATGTTGCCTTGTAAGTTAGTATTGTCTGTATCAGGATTTCTTACGGTATTGTATTTTATTGATGTGATTATATGAGGTGATTATTTAAGCTTAGAAAGCACAGTGCCCTGCCTCAGTGCTGGCTTGCAAAGTGTTCCCCTAAATGATGTCTGAGTGGTCACTGAAAGCTCAAAACAAAATCTGATCCCTAAAGCAGCTTCTTAGCTGTGAAGAAGTAACTAGCTTGATGCTGAATTATACCTCTGTGAGCACTTGTCAGACGGCAATGGGGATGGGGGCCCATCATGGATGCAGACATCTGAGTGAAACAGGCAGTGCCCTGTGGACGTGCTGTTAGCGTGACCACCCCTTTTGTTTGCCCAGGACTGAGGAAGGGTTTTCCAGGACTTCCAGTGCTCAGCTTCTGACAGGAAACTGCATCGAACACTGTGGCATCTTGTGGCTGAGGCAGGGCCTCCCCTCCTGACAGCACTGTAAAGCAGGCAACATTATTAGCACACTCAGTTTTCAAATGAGAACAAAGGAGACTCAGAGAAGTTGAATGATTTGTCCCAAATCACATAGCTGTTAAGTGTGGGCTCAAGCACACATTTTCGGACTTTCTTCAGCTCACATTGCCTCTCTACTGTCCATCTTTCTGTCCCCTTTAGACAGACCAAAGACCAAGTGGAGGCCTCCGGGCCTTCCTCTCAGGTCCAGTTTCTGATCTGCACGGTACTCGTGTGTTGGGTTAATTGGCCTGGGGGAGCAATAATATAATACCTACGCTCTGATAAGGAGCCTGTGATTTGCAGAGTATCTTGTTGCAGGGTTGCATGTCGTGGAGACGAACTTTGGTTACAGCCTGAATGCCCAGCACCAGGAAGGCCTTGGTTATATGAATCATTCGTCTTCTAATCAGTAAAATCTCCTGTGCGGTCCCAACAAACGTCCCCTCATCTGAATCCTTAGGCTGGCCGCAGAGCCTGTGTTTCTGAAATCATCGTGACTGCTTCTTCACCAAGGAAAAGCATGGTTTCTTTGCCAGGGCAAAAGGCTCCTGAGGAGAGCAGTTCGGGCGCCTGCTCAGCCCTTGCCCTGGAGCTCTGGGTCTCCTGCCCACTTCAGGGTCGTGTTTGGTGATGGATCTCTGGGGGAACTTGCCCTGGCCCTCGATGATGCTTGGAAAATTTGGAGAGGCAAAGAAGAAAAGAACGGTATCAAGAAAAAAGCATGGAGATGTGGGTGCCCACAATGTGTTTACTGAGGGCATTAGACGAGTCGCCGGTTTAGTGAAGTTGAATCTCCATGTCCAGAGCTGCACTAGAAGTGGGGAGACAGTGTCACAGACCAGCCTTTGGGAGCTCATGTTGTCACAGAGCTGAAGACGCATGTAGGGGAAGAACGTGCTTCCAAATACGTATATATATTTACAAAGACATATATTTAATATATCTGTATATATTTCTAAGTATATATAAATGTAGGTATATACGTGTTTACATGGTGGAAAGTTCATGAACTTAATTGTCCGACCCATATACATATGCATGATTAAATATATAAGGAAATATACTTGCAAATGCCTTTAGAGAGGTGGATTAGGTGGAAAGGATTTCAAATACTAGACTGGAGATTTCAGAACTCAGCTTGAGAGACAGTCAGCCATTTAGGGCTTTGGAGCAAAGAAGTAACAGAGAAAAGTGCATTTTAGGAAAACTGATCTGCCATCCATGAAAAGGAGAGACTGACAGAGGAGAAAGACTAGAAACTGGGAGAGGAATTCCCAAACTGTTCCTTTCAATCGATAGTGTTGTATGCCCTGTTCATTTCCTTAACAAGTCTTGGTGGTGTGACATCCGTGTGACCAGCCCTATGCTGGCATCAGGGGCACAGAGCTACACAGAGGGGCCCAGCCCTCTTGGACAGGATGTTCTGCTGTGGGGGACAGGCAGTAGATCGGTGCAGCTTGTGACACGTGATGTACAGGAAGTGATTGGGGGGGAGGAGGGCCCGCGTAGAGCTGGAGGCCTGAGTGGGAGGAGGACAGCCTTGCATGGCAGAGGGATGGGAGATTTGGGACAGGGGTGCCACGAGGCTGCCTGAGGAAGGGCTCAGCCTTGTGGCTGGGAAGGCAGGAAGGATCCAGAGGTGCCAAGCCCTCTGAGTTGCCACGGCAGAGTTGGGGCTTTGTTCTGAGAGTGGTAGGAGGCCAGGGAAGTGCTTCAGGCATGATCAAATCGGTGTTTGGGGCCAATCGCTCAGGCTACTGTCTGGCAGTGGGTTGGAGGAGCCAGTGTTGGGAGTGGGGAGACGAGTGAAGAGGGTGTTGTGCTTGGCTGGAACTCAGGAAGTGAGGATGGAGGGTGGGTAGGACCACTGGGAGTAGAGAAGGAGGAGCCACCCAGGGGTGCGGGAAGCAGAAAAGGGGGCTCCATGGCAGGCAGGTGCATTTGGGGTAGAAGGAGGGAAAACCGAACCTCAGCGTCCCATTTCTTAGGCTTGATGACTGGGAGGCCCTCAGTTTCCTCACTGAAAATGCTTAACAAATGTGATCTCCTTTACCCTTTTCCTTCCACTAGCCACTCTGAAGCAGATCTTCAGGGATCTTTTAGATTCTAGATAAGTAACGTTGGTTGAGTTTTTTCTATGTGTAGCTTGCAAGGTGCATTAGATGTATTTTCTCATACATGCCTCAAATCAGCCCCTTCAGGGAGCTCTTGTCAGTTTCTCCATGTTCCAGATAAGGAATGTGGCGCTCAGCAACGTTAGTAACTTCCTGACGTCACACAGCTAACCCATGGCAGGATCTTAGAGTGGAGTGGGTTCAGTGTCACTAAAGCAGTCACTCTTCAACCACACTACATCACCCCCCAGGCCCCTAGTGTCCTAAAGGCACTTCAAATTTACCCCACTCCCCAAGCCATCAGCCTAGAACTGTCCAACTGCAACACTAGACTTTGCCAGAAGCTCTAGTCCAGGCCTGTGCCTCCCTGTGCCTCCTTGTGCCCTGTATCCAGGGAGACAGAGGTCTGTCATTTAGTGGCCGCTGCCTTCCTTTGTTTTCTGAGCTTTTGAAAGAAAGGAAAATGCAGTTCCCACATACAAGACAGGCCTGCACATTTATAGCATCACACCCTGTAAACAGGAAATTTCTCAGACTTAGGCCCTGTAACGTAAACATAGGATATTGCCAATGAGTTCCTACACCCATTCAACAAACAAAAACGTGTGCATACGCCCCGCCCCGGTAGTCATTCCACTGGAAAGTAAGCTCCCTGAGACAGGTTTATTCTTCTGTATTGTTCACTAATGAATCTCAGGAGCCTAGCATAAAGGCATTTGCATAGCAGACATGCAAAAAATATTTATTGAATGTAGCATAAATGAATGCCTAACATTTATTACATCTTACTATATACCAGTCACTTGACATGTACTTTTTTTTTTTGTCATTTAATCTTAATGGCGACTTGAGAAGTAGGCACTATCAGATGCCCGTTTCTCAGATGTGGAGACTGAGGCACAGAGGGCTAAGAAGCTTGCCAGGTTTGGAGAGAGCTGGCTTTTGACTCAGGTTTTCTGACTTTAGAGAGCCTGGGTGTAACTACTATGCATAGTGCTTCCATGTACATCTACTGTGTGCAGGCCTTGTGTGTGGTATAGCCACCATTTAGACAAGTGGTAATACCTCCAGGGAACCTCGAGCCATTTCCCTCCAATGTTTTGACTTTATAGAGTGAGTTTCCCTTCCCACAGTACTGTGACAGAGTCAATAATGGAAGGAATTCAGAAAAGGCTGGCAGGCCAACAATGAGTCCCTGTCACTTGATAGTTCTGTGGATGTGTGACCTTGCAGTGTCCCCAAAGCTCAGTTTCTCCATTGGTCAAAGGAAGAGACTGAGTTAGGATTCCTGCCTTCCCTTCCAGCTCCCACATTCTACTGTTCCTGTGACTCCCAGGGAGCCTGATGTGAGTGGAAGAGAGGACCACTTGTTACTAGGCAACAAGCACCCGCCTCACCCATGTTGCCATGGTGACGATGAAAGTTGGGCTGATGGGATTACCAGCTCCTGCTAATTGCATATGAGAGCTCAAGGTCTCTGACTTTCTTGCTCGCTTGGCCTTATTTTCTCATTCTCCTAGGAATTGTGAAGAGATCTCCCCCATCTGCAGTGTCCCCAAGGCAGCCCTAGTGCAACGAAAGGCAACTGGAAACGGAGCCCGGCTGTGTCTCTTGAGTAGCTGTGTGACATTGCACAGATTACTCGGCTTCTCTGGGCCTCCATTTCTCCATTTGGAAAATGAAGGTGTTGGAATGGTGATCCCTGTCTAAGGCTCTTCCCGGCTCTCAAATCCTTTGATGCCTAGGGAGCATGTCAGGGGAGCCAACCACACTGTTACTAGGCAACCAGCAGGCACCGTGCCCAAGTTGCCTTGGTGACTGGATGCTGGAGGGGAAGGGAGTAGCTGCTGCAGCTAATTGCTTAATTATTTATGAGTGCCTCAAGTCCTTTTTGTTGTTTTTGTTGCTAGGGGCTATGGGGTTAACTCCTCTTCCTCCCTCCTGCCACCCCAAGTCGTCTGAGTTGCGTGTTTACTCACTGGTAGAGCACGTTGGCCTGGATCTCAAGCTACCCACGTTCTAGCCCTGCTTTGTCATTTCGTAGAGCTGTGGCCTCAGGTAAGTCATTTCACTTCTCTGGGCCTCAGTTTCCTCATTTGTAAAATGATGTGTTTGCTTAGATAATCTCCAAGTTCCCTTTCTGCCCTGAAATTCTAATTCCTGCTGTCCAGTTACAAAGTGGGGAAGATGAGGGGAATTTTCCTAATTTGTTATCTTCTAAGGATGCTTCTGAAGACCAATAACAGTAGTTAAGTCTCTCTCACATTTCAAACAGGAAGGGAATGGGGGTTATGCTCGCTGTTCTCTTCTTGCCGCGCACCTCACTCACTTGCCTGACCTCTTTTATTAATCTAAAGGCCATTTACATTTTTATTTTTATTTTTTGTATATCACCTATTTCCAAAATATTTGACAGGTTGTATAAGGTGCATATGTGAAATTAGGTCACACAAATAAAAATAGCAATAAAGTAATATAAAAATAGTGATTAGTTAATATTGATGATGTGATTGAGCATCAGATGTGATATTGAGCATCCCGGAAGCCAAAGCAAAAAGAGAGAGATACATAATTGTTCCTCAATAAAGAAAAATTGCCAGGCTATTCTTAGTTCTGAATTCTGAAAGTAATTTATCACATGGTGCATACTGTCTTTTAGAAACTCCAGATAAAACTTTTAAAATAAACCTTTCTTGCTGAGGGTGTTGTTAAAGGACTGATGAAGAAGCTAACCTTTACAGTTTGACTAGTTCTAATCATTAGAAGGCAAAAACTCCCTTTCTACCAATGCACTTGAATTTTATAAAGATAAATGTCACTTAGTAAATATGAATTTTCAGAATTAACTATTACTTATGAATAAATTACATATAAATTCATGTAACCACTGTGCACAGTAATTTAGTGATTGATACGTATCAAATTTTTAAACACAGGCAAAAATTCTACTTCTCCAAACTTGTTCTGAAATAAACTTGTACAGATGAAGAAAGACATTAACTATAAAATTGCTTATGGTGGCATTATTTATATAAGAAAATTACCATTAAAAAAAGAAAATGATTATAAACCACAGAAATCTTGAGGGCTACTGAATTAAATTATATTACTTCTTAGAATGGATTACTTTGCAGCCCTTAATATAAAATAGATCTGTATGTTTTGATATGGAAATAAATCTTCAAATATATGTTAAGATAAGGAGGTACATAAAAATGCTTTTATTTCTGTTACAAAAGATGTAAATAGGTGTATAATTTATATGTCTAGATACATGCTTTTATGTACCTACTTGGATTTTTCTGGAAGGAAACTATTAACAGTGGTTTCCTCTGGGCAGGAAGATTGATAGCCTTGGGATGGAGGAAGACTTACTCTTCATTGCCTTATTTTTACTATGTAGACCTGTTAATTTTTTTAGTTAGAGAGGCAATAGAGCCTGGTGGTTAAAAGTCTAGACTCTGGAGTTTGAATACGTGTATTCAAATCCTTGCTCAATCACTTACTAGCAGTGTGACTTTGGAATTAATTTAAGTTCTCCATGTCTCGTTCATAAAATGGGCCAATCATAGCACCTTCCTCACTGGATTGTTGTGGGGATTAAATGAGTTGATAAGCATGAAGTGCTCAGAACAGCCTAAACAGTGCCATATATGTATTTTCTTAAAAAAAATAAAAGGTGAAATTTAAAAAATGCATCTAGCCAAAAGGACCTCCAATATTTCAGAGCTGGAAGGACTTTATGAATATGTCACTGCTTCCAGCATCATAAGTTATATAGAAATTATGTTTGAAGCAGGGATCGAAAAGCAGTGGTCTTGTTTTCATTGTCATTTTATCTGGACTTGAATACCTTTTAGGAAAGGCATGTACCCTGGGATTTATAATAGGTGTTTATGATGCCTGTGATGACCCTGAATGCACCTGGTTTTGCATCTTCTGTTCTAGTCCATCCCAGTGAATGCTCAAGCTAAGAGCAGAAGGTATGTTAGGCCAGGTGGAAAATCTTTGAAGAGCTGTACATCCACAGTTGTTAAAGGCCAGGAGGGCCTCTGCCCACACTGGTTAGAACACGTGTTCCACATGCCCTCATGCCTCTCTTCTTCTGAGAGAGTAACAGAGACCTGGTAAGAGGCTGTGCTAGGAAAATCCTCAGGAATCTCATGGCCATAGGGACTTCCTCTATATTCAGAGGCAGAAAGTAGAGGGCTCTGTGTTCCAGACTGCCTGGTTTCCTCCTCCTTCCTTGCAGATGCTTTTGGGACAAGCCTGGAGAACTTAAGCTGACTTTGGGAACCTTCCTTTAGAGTTGGCCACACTTTGGGCCAGGCTTGGGCCCCTCACTATGGGCACAAGGTGACCCCAAAGAGGGTGGGATGGGGACTCTAGTCCCTTCAAATCCGCTGAGTTTGTTAACATACTGTCAGGAGGAACTTAAGGCTGACCTATTAAACTTCATGTGGAGTCAGTGATTCCCGGCTTCTGTCTGTCTGGCCCTTTCTTTCCACACCTTTGGGCATTCATTGCAGTCTGTCTATCCATTTGGCCAGAGGTGCCCCCCTGTATTTGTCTGTCACATCCAACTGTGCTTCCATCTGCCCTTTCATCCCTCCACTCCTACTCCAATCCTCTGCCAATTTTCCCACCCATCCTTAGACTGCTGATACGTCTGCTCACCCCTCCTCTCCTCCCACCGTGTGAGGGAGAGTCCATCCACTGGTCCATCCAGCCATTCCTCCATCTTTCTGTAGCCCGTCCATCCAACTCGCCGACCTCCTGTCTGGCTGCAAAATCGGCCGCTTGACCTGTTCCCCTACCCCATAGCCCGCGAAGACGTCCCCGGCCGTGGTTCTGCCCTCGCTCTGTCGTGGTCCGTACCGCGCGCAATCGGCCTTCCACCTCGCCCGCGGCGAGCCTGCTTTTGTCTGGCGGCCCCTGCCCGGCGGTGCTCCACGCAGCGCGGCCCGGGGTGGCGGGGCGGAGCGGGGCTGGTGGGCAGGGGCAGGGCGGGGCGGGGCG